TAATAGAAATGCCATTCATTCCCGAGGAAGAAGGGACGTTGGGGGTCATTCATCCATTTCGTTTCGGGGGTGATATGATAGCTAGGCCGGGCTTGGCTGGCAGCAAGTGGGACTGTACTGGCAAACAAGGCGAGTGATAGCAATGAAAAACCACGGAACGCCAGCATCTTTGCGAAGAGTGCAACGAAACACTGCAACGTGGTAATGATAGATGAGTCTTAAGTACAAGCGATCGCGAACGAAGGGTGTGAAGATGAAAGTCAGGAGGTACTATATATAACTATATGTTGTAGCAAGTAATACGTAGATCTCCGGAGTCCGTGGGCCTGCGTGTGGTGGGTCCAGGGTCTGGTGGGTGTAGCATACTCCTTCTCATCTCCTGAGTGCTTCTGTTGATGTCATATGCTTCACTACCTAGGTAGCTCTTTGTGCTTACCACCTGGCGACAACAAGACCAGCCAGCAATTAGGGGGCTATCGTGCACGGTTTTCATCAACCCTTTCGGTCAAGAGCGAGGAAGATCCCATCTGTATTTAGTTAATTTTAGTTAAATGTATGCGTAAAAGACTACCTAGGTACGGAGTATATACCACTGTTGGCTTATAGCAAGCTACCCGCCGACTTTTTCCCGCTGATCTTCCCTTATTCCGTCGTTCGGTCTAAAAAGTAAATGTTGGAAGAAATAATTCTCATTGCTATAACTTGTGCTTGTCTTGTTTAGTAACCTCTCCACCTCTCCACAATATCAAGTCTCTGAAGAAAGTTATATATAAAAAAAAACGGGATATGTCAAATTACGGCAAGGGGTAGGGTTTGGTCGTTTGCTGCGAGTACTCCAAGGTACCACAGTCCAAGGAGAACCGTTAATTGAGGACGTCGTGCAGATCTGTTTCCCTTAGACCAAGGAATAGCCTCCGAGATTTCGAGATTTCCTCTGCGATCTACAACATAGCAATAAACTCTGCATCAGTTAAAATGAAACCATATCTAGTTTGGTGCTGTTTCATATAGAAATTGACTTGACATGTGATAAGCCTTGCTTGAACTGATTTTGCTTTTCAGAATCTGAGCTGCGTAGATCTGAATGCCACTTCTAGGAAGGTTTAATATCGCCGGGTTACGAAGACGTATAGGGGCCCCGGGGTCAAAACCCCTTTTGGGGAGGGGTTTATGCCTGAATGCCTTAATTTAGAAAAATTAAAATACCTGAATTACTATTACATGTGCCTTGGTAATCCAAGTACCAAGTCCAAAAAATATACATTCAATTCGGATTTACCTCAGATTCAATTCAGATTCAATTCAGGTTCAATTCAAATTGCCCCTATACGTCTTCGTACCGGGTGCTCTGTTTGCCGCGATTCCTATTGTTTGCCGAGGGTCCTAAAACGGTGACATCGCACGTGCCCTTCGATCTTTCTCGCCATTGCTCCTACATCAAAGGTTAAGGGGGTGATCCCCGTCAGACTGTTAGCTTGACGCATAGCCTCAAACCCATGGTACAATGCTTGTATCAATCTTTCACTCAGGTACATATCGATCCGAGCTTTCACAGCCATTTCAGAATGAACTGGATGAGGAGGAAAGTGGGTTGCGGGAAACTCAGGCAGCAAGGTGCTTTCAAGGATGGCACCAAAATCTCGTTGGGCTCACAGAGTTAATATCATGATAGCTGTACTTCAAACTGCGCGTAATTGGGCCCGGTTTGCCTAATGCTTGAAGATTCGGCAGTCCCGTTTGGAGGAATCTCATTAGGGTAGTTTCCAGCGCCATGATTTTTAGAGGAATAATGAAAGAAGAGAAAAGGATTAAAACGGAAAGTCAAAGGATAGAAAAGCAGTTAGAGACGATCGTTAATGGTAAGGTATCTTAGAGGAGAGAAGTGCCAGAGACTTAGCAATCGGGTTGCTAGAAATAGCTCTCTTTTAAGAACTTTTTGCCAGCTAGGTAAGGAATATACTAGAAGGCAAAAGGTAGATTACCTCGATATTAATAATGTCTATCGTTTATAAATAGGCTCGTGGGTATACTTCCGCACATTGTCCACCCCAACCTCGCCTTGCACAATTTCATCCTTATATTGTAGTTGCTCACAAAATAAGCTGGTCGAATAGCACTGCACCGGCTACCAATGACACCCCCAAGAGCTATTTCCACCTTTGCATGGACATATGGAACCATGTCAATGGGTGGTATAGCATGTAGATCACCCTGGACGGGATGCTACTCAGAAGAACGACAAATTCGATTCCACCTTGTTTAAGCGCCACAAAGATATGCCACATGCCGTCTGGAATGTCATCGATTGCATACCTAGGTAGACAAAATACAGTATTGGCACCACCTTGGCGAACTGCGGGCTGAACGGTTTCAGGTTTGGTACTTAGACTTTCTCGGCGGAGATGTCACCGAGCGTCGGAATAGGCCTTGAAGGATCGCGCATGGCGAGAGTAACTCTTGCGCCCTCTTGATTCTTTAAGTGTGGCAGCTGAGCCAACGCTTCCAGTTGCACCGAAAATAATAACATTATCAGGAGAGGCTATTCGGAGTGATAGTGGAGTATTCTTAGTCGTGAAGGGGGACACCGATATGCTCAAGTTGTCACGGAGTGCTATTCGGGGCTTAAAGTATATTAGATATGGCCTGAAGCTGGGGATACATTTTGAATTTATACTCAACTTATTTGTATGCGACACATGGACTTTTGGTGGTCCAATCCACCAACGAAGTCCGAGAGAGAGCGTGTTGTGGAGAGCTTGGAAGACCTGGAGTGCTCTGCGCCATGATATTATTATATGACGAGGTAGTTTTATTGTTTATGACTTCGTAACCAGGTGTTTTCGTTGTGGTTGGCCTGTCATTGGTCCAATGTACGAGCATATTCCGTGCAAGAGACCTTGGAGTACTGACAATGAAATGAAGATTCCAGCGGTAGTAGGAAGAGAAAGGATGAAGTAGAAGAAGAGGTAATGTCGAAGAGGTAATGTCGAGGAGGTGATGTCGAGGAGGTAATGTCGAAGAGGGAAAGAACTGAGGTAAGGAAGGAGCTGCCCATCTGCCCATCAAGAACATCTCAACCACTTTTCTCCAGATGCTTTCCTCTTCATCCTCTTCTCCCACCAAGAACTCTGAAACCGAAACAGACTTCAAAATGTCTGTCTCTGATCCTTTGCTAGACAGCTATAACTGTCCCGCATTTCTACGAAGCTGCAACGCGTACAGAGAGTACCTTGTCAAGACCGAGGCCCGGGAGCTCAACCTCCCATTCTACACGACAGTAAGTCTATATGAGGAGAATCAACTGCGAAAACCTTGACTAATTGTGCTCACAGAACTCAGCTGGTGAAATCATTGTGTACCACGGCGAGGTCTATTGTCGCGTACCGGGATGTAAACACAACCATGTCAGTGCATATATACCAAGGCTCTCCGAGATGGCTATTAATTGAATGTAGGTCGCTACCTCTGCGACTAACAACCTTCGTCAACACCTCATCAGACATGGGTACCACCTCCCGACGAGTGCCACGGGTCGATTGACGCAGGCCAGGAAGGATGCCGCCATTCGGTGGTACAAGTCCCTGTTTGGGGCTGAAGAAGATGACGATGACGAGAACAGCGATGACGACGATGCGGAGGATGACGATGAGGGGGACAACCGTGCAGAGAAAGACGATGAGGAATATGCGGAGGAGGACGACGAAGACGACGATGAGGACGACGATTGAGACGATAAAGATACTGCGGCAGACTAAAGTCTCCCTCTTGGCAGATGTTGCCTCTCTCTCTATGTCGCCATTGAAAATTGCCGCATATGTACCGAGCTCATAAGTCATTTTACCATTGAATGAAGTGGATCAATCATCCAATAACTAAGCATTTGATAGACCTACCTAATAACCACAAATACCTAATAACAATCGGCAACGAATCAACCTTCAACCTAGTCGATCTAGCCCGCTACGGCAATATCGAAGTCGACGACTCTACGATTGCTATCTAGACATATATATAAGGGCGTGCAGTTTATCGCGATACCTGTAGATATCATTTTTACGGCTAAGAACCGGGCATCACTTCTACTAGCCAATCTTCAGTCAAACAGCCATAGAAGCCAGAGTTCAAATCAGCTCCTTAGTCTAGAGAGACCTCGGGTCAACATAGGTAACCTGGAGCTTAATATCCAATTGCACCCCCTCCCCCATTATGGAAACTAGGCCTTGGATTTTATCTGAGCTCTGAAACCTACGACATAAACACCGAGACGGCTCTTTGCATCTGTCGCTAGTCCATGTTCATCTTCTAAACATGCAGATGATGGAATATAATATGGCTAACTGCATGAGGAAAGCCACTGAAAGATCCACCCATGCCTTTGTTGTCAGTTTGATTTAGTTTGTTACAAGTCAGTTAATATCAATATATTCTATAGTATGAATCTTCGATTCCGATGGGTACCCAGATAGAGAGCATCAAGATTGATCATTTGTACGCTAGAAGTCACAGTCTAAAACGTATATATAGAAACTAGTGATAATAATGCTTTTATTTGTTTTTAACTTTTCCCTATATCTCATAATTCTTTCAATGTGATCAAAGGGGTTTGTAGTATTTCTGAAAAAAAAAAGGTCACTATTGTTGCCTGTCTGACATATTTTTCAGAGTCTCTTTGTGCTAATGTTAGTGGGTGATTTCCTTTTTAGGAAATATGAGGTCAAGTTCAACATAGATGCCTAAATATAACAATTCAACACTAAACAAAGAAAACAATCATTCTAGACATAATGCAACTCTCAAACAATCACCAGCCTAAACAATGAATGTTTATTCAATTTTGGCTATTGGGTATTGAAAACAACGTGAATTAAACAAAGAGCCTATTCATTGTTGCAGTGCTGCCCTTCTTCACGATGTATTTAAACTCCCAAGACACCGAGAAAAAGACGGAGAATCCCTTGAGTCTCTTGAAATTCACTGATCTCATATTTCAAACCACAAATATGGTCAACATACTAGTGCTAGGAGCCATTTTTACCGGCCTCAACGGTATTGGCCTCTGGCATTCCATTCCATTTACTGGAATCACACCTTCCAACACTTTCTTTTGGCGAGGTCTCAACTCTCTGGAAATTGTGTATTCCATTCACACCTTGCACAAAGTTCACCCTTTGGTGTTCCCCGATTACGACAAACCCTCGGATTACGACCTCCTGCAGCAACTTTCACTCGATGTTAAACAGTACGAGAAAGCCAGGCTGGCCCTGCAAAACTCGGCTAATGCAGTACCACAACACCTCCACAACACAGAATCCACAACGACAATGTTAGACCTGGGTGCCGCGGCGATGCCCGCCTCGTTCTACTTGAACAATGGCTCGACAACGGAGCTCAACCACCAACAACCGCAGCAGTTCAACTCAGCCCAGGACCACACGGTGTTTCTCACGTTCATTTCTATTCTCATTTTTGTTATTCTCGGAATGCAGATGATGGGCTTTACGGTGACGAAAAACACCAAGCAGCACGTCGAGGACCTCCACTACGATTACATCAAAGGAATGAGGGTCATGCAAGAACAATTCGGTATCTTGATGTTCGAGATCCAAAAGCTTCAAATACAACATGAACAAGTACGGCCTGCTGTCATTCACCTGGCAGATTCCATCGCAAACTCCTCGGCCGACCTCCAAAATTGTCTGTTGCATATTGTTGGTATGATGGATAACAAATACACATCCAGCATGATTGACATTGAGTCCAAATTGGACGAGGTCGGTGAACAACACCTGAATTTGATGAAAAATACTGAAAGTTTCCCGCAGATTCCGAGACAGTTGGCTTGGCTTAACATATTGATGGCGAAGACCATGTCTAGCGATCTACCTGAAGGATTGCACCCGCCTTTGGATTTAAGCAAGAGCCCTACCCCCGAGCAGATGGATGGAGGTTACAATCGCAGCTCCCCCCAACTGGGCCCCAAACAGGACAAATATGAGAATTCATTTATTAGTTAGTAAACCTTAGGTAGCTACCCTTACGGTCAGCTGATCAGTCAGCTGACCGGGTAGACCAGAACGGCAGCTAGCTACATATAGCTACCTAGAGGAATCAACTTTCATCTTCCCAATCCATAATCCACGAATTGTGTAACAAAATGATTTAGAATCAACTACTAGTTAGTTATCTCTCTATATCACGTCTAAAAATATAATATAACGTGTTTATAAAAAAAAATTTCAAAAATTACGAAGCTCACTAGAAAGTAGTAGTTAGCTCCCGTATCAATTGTAGATAGATAACTAATACCAATATATACCACGATTCTTAGACCCCAGCACCTAGTTGGCATTGGAAAACAACCCGTAGACTCAAGAACATACTCGGGCCAAGTAAGGGGGAAACAATGGAGATAATAAATATTCTTCTTCCAATTGGCTCTTAGAAACCCTAACACCAACGCTATGTATACTTTTTTCTTATTTTCGGGTTGAACAATTGATCTGCAGATGTGGGTATCAGATAATGGAGTATTGAGACATTAGTCCAGGTCGTGGAAGGCCATGACATGCTGTCCACCACTGCGGTCCTTGCTCTTGGACTTCTTGCGCTTCTTTCGGTCCTTCGGATCCTCACGACGTTCCGCATCGCTATCATCCGAATCTTTATCGTCATCACTATCATCCATCATGTCTTCATCGCCAGATCCATCACCGACATTGTCCTCAGCCTCGTGCCACACCTTGACGGTTTGGCCACCACCAGAGACCATACGGCCCTCCATGTCAAAGCCTAAGCCCACAACACCATCGATCTCATCGTGCACAACCTCAGAGACGACTTGGTTGGGTCCGATGCGCACGAACTTCACCTTTCCACTTGAGAGGCCTGCGGCCACCACCTTGCCCAAGTAGTCAGGTCCAACTGCCATTGTCTCGACGGAATCTCCGCCATCGGCATTGCGGTCAACGTAGATCCGCTCATCCTGGTCATCCCACGCGCCCTTCTCCCAGAGAGTGACGATACCGCTAGCTCCACCAACGATAAGCTTTTCGCCCCGACTGGTTCCACTGGAAGGCAAACCACCCATAAAGACAGAGCTAACCAATTCTTCTTCCTGGTTCTCGCTGCGCACCAGAACGCCCCTCCGGAGATCCGTCACGGCCAGGGTTGTTCCACCAGTGGTAACCCACTGCTTGCTAAAGCCCGAGGTGCTAGTTTCGGAAGCCGGGAGAGGAGTAAGAGATGAGATGTAGTCGTCGTGGGGGGTGGTGCGACTGCTCAGGCCGCGCGGATACCTTGGAGTATGGGATACGCAGATCGTAGAGGTGCAGAGCGCTTGAGTCGGTACCAAGAAGAAGAGTTTGAGGAGAGAGGGCATGGATCATGGTTGGCGCATCAACAGAGCTATATGAGATCAATAAACGACAGGTCAGCCAAATGCGAAGGTCCTGATTGCAACGCTTGATGTTCGGGAAAGGCCCTTTACCCGTTCTTCTCGAGAGGAATCACAATCTTGTTTTGCACCTGACCAGTCTCGGTGCTTGCAGCCTTCACCATACCGTCTGTACCAGCCGAGTAGAGCGTTTTGCCATCCGTACCGAACCCTAAGGTGCGACAGCTACCCTTGTGTCGCCGAGTTCTCCACATCGTGTCGATGTGACCCTTTCCAGTGCGGGCCGAGGAATTTGGCGCGGCATCTTCATCATCCTCTCCTTCTAAGGAAGGCAGTCGGAAGGTCTGAACGTGGCCTGAGGCCAGACCGACAGAGACTACGGGCTCCTCGGGGTGGATAGCCTGAGCGAACAGGTCCGAGGAAAGCGGAAGTGTGCAGACCGTGTCGAACATGGTTGCAAATTGCGACAGAAATAATGGAAGAATCCAAAGGCTTCTAGTGAGCCTAGTGAGAATCTGAATTCGTGTGAATTGAATAAAGAGAATCAATTTCAAAAAACTGGAGCTTTGGAGCTGGCCGTTTTTTTTTCTGCCGAGCGGAGAATATCCCGACCGCCTTCTTTTACTTGTTTAGGTGCAAATCGTCTGCAAAAGATAACTACCGATCCCCACACAGGCGTTGTTGATTGCAAGCCCAACTTAAATCCATGAATTCAATAATCACGGCAATATTAGCCGCAAGCTCGTCTTCGGGCATACGAGCACCCATCAATGCCGCGAGCACATATCTAGCCAGTCGATCGAAGGGGGCTTGTTCGTTATAGCTGGGGGCTTCAAGAGAGCTCATCTCTCGTCATGATCTTCAACTTGACATCTGTCCACGCCATCCAATCCCACATGATACAAATTTCGCTATTAGGCACCGGGAGATTGAGCACTCGACAATACAGTCCGCAAGCAACGCGGATTTCCATCGAAAACGGATCGCTCATTCAATCATTGCAGCGTCTTCTTCAAATTCCCTGTACTCGTAGAACCCACGGTGCCTTCCCCAGAAGCCAGTCTCTCTCCCCAGGTTGTGATCATCAGCGCGGGGTTGGCGAAATAATCTGGTCATATCTTTCAGTCTTTTATGCGCAACATGGCCTCTCATTTCTCTATCAAATTTTCTTCCGAGCGGGCTCTAACGCAGCCAGAGGCCGATAATTACCGGTTACTTGGATTCTGATCTCGCTGAGCAGGTAGCTCTTCTGAAGGTTGCGATGCCATTGCGCGCGGTATAAGGGAGGGATTTATAGACGGATGAAGATAACGGACAGACTAACTATATACTACATAAAGTCTCATAGGGTGTATAAGAAGACGGCTAAACCGCCGTGTCCCTTCTTTATCTAGGTCTTCTCTCGCCATGTGCTTGTCAGTTCCAGTCATGCTGTCGCTGCTAGCAGGTAGCACCGTCAAATCCCGCGGCAATAAAAGCTCATCAAAAGAGTTGTGCAATAAAGAGAGGCGGAACTAATATGACTAGTAATGCTCCGGCAATCCTGAAGGCAAGGCATTCAGAAAGTGCGGTCAAAATGGAATACTCTTCTCCGAATCTACGACTTACTATGATAATTATAATATGTATCAACCACTTTGATTATGGGGCGAGTCATCCAGCTTACTATGTAACGATGCTCAACTGAGCGAGTTCGAGGGTTGAGCCAATGAGAAAGGAACAAAGAAAGTTCGTACCAATATCGGCTCGAACCTACGACCCCACTCGTCTGAAAACTAAAACCCCACATAAACCCCTCACCCTAAGTCGTCGAAATGGAACGTCGAAAGGATGAAACCAAAACAAAAAAAGTTAGCGCAGGTTCATTATCCATATTATGTCAATTCTGGAGCACCACATACCTTGGGAATCTTTCGGGACATGCCCCGAAGGGCGAAATATAGCGTCCTGGACTTCATTTTAACCCCAATTTTTGGATGAAATTTACTATGTAGAATACAATACTTGACCGTGGTTGGCCGGAATTCCGAGGATCCGCTCTTTCGCGGGAGCGGGTCTCGAACTCTCGAACTCACGACGCCATTTGTCGATCTCACGTGACTGCCTAACCCGGTAGTACCAATCAGAGCTAACTAGGTAACTATTTTGTCAAGCTGCCCCGTATGTGTATACCATCAAAATAGATATCCAAAGAAAGAAAAAAATAGGTAGCTTCTCTTTGATTGAGCGTGTCATCCTTAGTGCAGGGGCCATCCATGGATGCTAATCTTCTCTGTATGTTTTCATTTGAATATATCCCGAAGGGCGAAAGGATATCCGATCAGTTCTATATAACCTCAACTTTTTGACAGAATTATACCGCCTATCATTTGGGGAATACATAGTGAATAGTTAACGTATTCGGTAAGCGAGTGGCGCACGCAAGCGAACGGCGCACCCCAAAATACCTAGGTAGTAAAAGCGATAAATTACAACATGATATTTCAACAACAAACCCTCTTCTTTAATTTCATTACTCGTCGATGGCAATTGATAGGCATTTTGAGTATCATATATCAATTTTGAATGGATTGAGAACTTGCATTGTCACGGTATTGAAAATACGTCGCTGAACTCTACATATATAGAAATATATAACTATATATCTCACTCACCAATTTATTAAGTTCCCCTAAACTCTAACAAGTGGCTAAATTTAACATAAAAAGAATTAGGCTATAAGGAAAAGCTCCTATAAACAACCGTTGTTGAGTTATCATACTGTAATTTATCGTGTTTACTATGTGTTTTGAGGTGCGCCGTTCGCTTGCGTCCACGGGTGTGCCATTCGCTTACCGAATACGTTAACTATCGGCATGTGATTTTGATTATATAACTAACACAGACACACTAGTTAACTACCTAACTAGTTAGTTACCTGGGTAGTTGATTACGTTTATATAAGCCATCTTGGTGTCTTCCTAGGTAGGATGATGATTGGGTGAATGGAGATGTTCCACATCCAGGGTAACGTTGTCTCTCATATATAACAAAGAAAGATCCTGTCTATAACTGAAAATCCGATGTAGTGTAGGGGTTATCACTGTGCTCTTTCACAGCACTAACGGGGGTTCGAATCCCCCCATCGGAGAATTTCTTTTTTCTTCATCTTTTTTATCGACATAGTTTCAATATCTAATTATCTGTTTATGCATCGATGATAATACCTAGCTTGTATATGTTGATGGCTATGGCATCTTGGATTGGAAGTTGTCTTGTTTTCTCTTCGATACGATACAAGGAAACTATAGGGTGTCTGTCTCCAGATGTCCCAAGGACATCACCAAAGATGGTCTCTGAGTTAGACATTAATCTATGAAACCTATGAGCATCCAAGGGTTCTTAATTTCCGCTCGGGGAGGCAATATTGCCTATGTTGTATACATTTATGTAAGCTTTCCTCGGAAATGACCCTACTCATGACCGATGTTGAACGGGTATATGTCGATGACCATTTGTGGTTGCTTTGTTTTATTTCTTATTTTTTTATTTTAAAAAAAGGAGATAAGCAGTAGGAAATGGCATCCAGTCTTATAGAAAGGGGGCGTAATCGAATATTATACTCTCCATATCTGCTGTGAACCAATATAGGCTGGATATATATATACATGCTTGTGTACATGCTAGCTCCCCCTGTATAAATATCGTATTTGGGATAATTGAGTGCCGTCCCGAAAGCATTGATCACTGGTGTTTCTGTATGGTTCATCTACAAGGAACAGAAATATAGGGATAAGTATTCCTGGATCGCTCCACTCTCCAACAACATCCGATGTAGTGTAGGGGTTATCACTGTGCTCTTTCAAGTTCCTCTTGGGATATTGAACAGCACTAACGGGGGTTCGAATCCCCCCCATCGGAGTTTATTTTTTTCCCCCTTCCCTTCGCTGCATTCAATTTATGAAATGGTAGCCAAATAGATAGTCAGTCTTGTATATGTTGTAGTCAGAACAACGAGTCTTTCTTTTTCACATACAGAGTTGTACTAGCCCTAAATAAACCATCTAATGCATGCTTCCTTCTATGCCGTTTTTTTTTTTAACTTCAACAGCTTCTCTCTCTACCCAGAAGCTCCATGTAGAAACTAGAAATGACTAGGACTCATTAAATTGCTTGGAAATTATCCTCAATATGCAGCGCTTTCTCCCATCGACCCCGCCGGCCATTCCTCCGCATCGATATAAGCACTAATGCTCCCTATCTAAGTAATTTTGAAGATATTCAGCCTAAAGTAACCCGAGAATCGAATCTATTCAAGCGGCCTTGAAGATACCTATCGCAACAGCAAGCGATCGACACACTAGTCACCCTTCAAGACCCATGCAATCTTATACAACATACGCATTAGCATATCCGAGACCCTTGTTTATTCCCCTGTTTGGGGCTGTTAGCTTAGGGAGACTCGTAAGAAGTTCCCGGAGCCTTGCCAGAATCGCCTACGGAGTACATACTTTATTATTTTCGAGTCTCCCATATCCGGGGAAATTTACCCACCAATAGAAGGGGCACTTTGTTCAGGATCCATTGGAGCACAGGTAAACGCTTAGCTTGTATACTGACGGCAAATTACCGCGTCGAATCTGGCCCACCTGCGCTTCATGGAGTCTGCAGGTCAGGCAACAGCTTGGACAGATGTAACCTTGACATATTACTCCTCGGAATTTACCGCATACGATCCTGGATCAACGAGCAATCAAGTTGAGTACCACGTGCAACCGCTAGGATGCAGGGGCTCACCCTCAATTTTCCGTTCGGTAAAATTATATCCCTACCAGTCGCCAATATTTGTACGAGGTCACGTCGAAGTTATATTGTCTACGCGCCGTCTTTTAAACATTTGGTTCGCGAAACACGCCGCGGCACATCCGGCATCAGAATCTTGAAACACCGGCTTTGCCGTACTGCCAGGGCCTAGTGTTTCTCTTTGGAGTATTGTCGATACTACTGGTTAACCCCGCAATACGACCCACAGTAATAGCCAGGACTTAGCATGTGTCCTTCATCTTACTTTCTTTACTTCCGATACTCCGGGTTGGGCAATTAGTCCAATATCATGTGCCATGTCTCCACAAATCAGACCATCGCGCTGTTGATCTCTTGTGCTTAGTTTCTGTCTAATTCCAGAGTGAGATGTCTAAGGAAATGCGAGAGGCCTTGATTGATGCAGAGGCTTAGTTTATGCTCGATGGCTACCTTTACTAGTATGTATAGACCGAGCCTCGGTTTCAAATTTATATGTTCCCAACGAGACTGAGAATTGTTCTAAACAGTATGTCAAGACAGGTGATAACAAATATGTATAAACTAGGAGGATAATAAGAATCCATAATATTGTTACTGCTATGCAGTTAATATTGCAAGGGCATTATTTTGCCTTTTCACAATATCATGCTTTATGCCCAAAATGTCTGCAGAACAATTCTCCGTGTTTGGGTTTAACGCCTTGCAGAGTATCCCACATTATCTGACACTAAGAAAAGCCTTTCGGCGGGTTGATGTCAGTGGAGGACCTCGGGAGCGCTATGGTGCCTATTCCATCTAGCGGCACTCTTGGCAGGATTCAACCCCCTTCAACCCCACAAAGTATCTCATGATCTTTTATTCTGTTGACTATAGGGAGTAGTGTAATCGTATAGTCAAATCTCTTCCCAGACAGTACCGGTCCTGACGTATAAATGAAAGATCGACAGGCAACATACCTCAAAGCGTCATCGTCTGCAGTCATTGCCCCTTACACTATCAAGTTCCCCGAATCCTATACAGCAATCGACAGAACTGGATCGGGGGATTCTCCGTCTTCACGGAAGTTGAAACAATTAGCCCATGTTTATCCACTCCAATATCAGTCAGGATCTCGATGTGCATCTTACCACAGTTATCCGGCGATGATCATTCCCTTCCTGATTCAGGCGTCGTTTCCACTCTCAAACCGATGTACCCACGACACCGGAGGTCACCCAGTATGGAAGTAGATACAGGATTGATGACTGTGGACTCTCTATCCGTACCAATTTGGCAACGGCCTCAACGGTCCGTCACACCGGTAATGCTATCCCAAAAGGACCCTAGTCAAGGTTTGCATGGCAATGACTTAGAGCAACCCTATGCGTAAGAAAAATATATAAAGATCTATTCCCATCCCGAGATTATTTCTGTTCATCAACTGCAGGCCAGATAACAGGATAACAAGATATTATTGCAAACCGACCCTTCTTATTCGTCTGCAATGTATCAACGCGCACTTCTTTTCTCCGCCCTGGCGGTGGCAGCCCATGCCCAGCAGGTTGGCACATCAAAACCTGAGACCCATCCCTCTTTGAACTGGCAAAAGTGCACTGCCAAGGGCAGTTGCACCGACCAGAAGGGCTCTGTCGTCATTGATTCCAACTGGCGCTGGCTTCACTCCGTCGATGGGTCCACCAACTGCTACACTGGAAACGAGGTAAGAAATTCCGAATAGAGAAGATGAGCGTTTACATTTGTTGACTTCTTTGATACTAGTGGGACGCGACTCTCTGCCCCGATGACAAGACTTGCGCCACAAACTGTGCTCTGGAGGGCGCTGACTACGCCGGCACCTACGGCGCGAGCACAGATGGCAATGCCCTCACGTTGAGCTTTGTCACTGGAGCCAACGTTGGCTCTCGTCTGTTTTTGATGGAGGACGATAGTACCTACCAGATGTTCAAGTTGAAGAATCAGGAGTTCACATTCGATGTGGACACTTCCGCTCTGCCCTGCGGACTCAATGGAGCTCTGTACTTTGTCTCCATGGATTCCGATGGTGGCATGGCTAGGTACGATGGCAACAAGGCAGGTGCCAAATACGGAACTGGCTACTGTGATTCTCAGTGCCCTCGTGATCTGAAGTTTATCAACGGTCAGGTGAGTTGTTATACTGGTCAAGTTCGAAAAGCTCGTGAGAAAAATGACTAATGCGTGATACAGGCCAACGTGGACGACTGGGAGCCTTCCAAGAACGACAAGAACGCTGGTGTTGGCGGTCACGGATCGTGCTGCCCTGAGATGGATATCTGGGAAGCCAACAGCATTTCCAGTGCCTACACGCCTCACCCTTGCGAGAGCCCCGAACAAACCATGTGCGAGGGCGACAAGTGTGGCGGAACTTACTCCTCCACTCGCTACGCAGGAACATGCGATCCCGATGGATGTGACTTCAACTCCTTCCGCATGGGCAACGAGAGCTTCTACGGCCCCGGCAAGACCGTCGACACCAAGTCCAAGATGACCGTGGTCACTCAGTTCATCACCAGTGACGGCACTGACACCGGCGCCCTCAGCGAGATCAAGCGCATCTACGTGCAGGACGGAAAGGTTATCGCCAACTCTGCCTCGGACGTCAGTGGTGTTACCGGAAACTCGATTACCAAGGACTTCTGCACAGCCCAGAAGAAAGCCTTCGGAGATGAGGATGTCTTCGCTCAGAAGGGTGGTCTGGCTACCATGGGCGAGGGTTTGGACCAGGGAATGGTTTTGGTCATGAGCTTGTGGGATGACCACTATGCTAACATGCTCTGGTTGGATGGTGAGGTCTACCCCACTGATGCCGCTGCCTCCGATCCTGGTGCTGCTCGCGGTACATGCGCCACCACCTCCGGCGACCCAGCGACTATTGAGAATGAAGCGGGCTCGGCCAAGGTGACCTACTCCAACATCAAGGTCGGCCCCATTGGCTCTACCTACGCTTCCTAAAGAGTCAAAATGACACTTTCTGAACTCAGCAACACCTGGAATGCGGGGTCTTCGGGGTGCATAAATTCTTGCGCCAGTGGCAGCAAATGCCCAATTTGGAAGAAAATGGTGAATGATATATAAGCTTTCTTTCGTTGATAGTTGTGTGTATTCTTGATTTCATTTATCTTTTCTTTCTTAGAATCAGAGTGATTCTATTGATAGCTTGCAGTAAACTTCTTTTGACTGAGCCGTGTCTGCCCCCAGGGCTTGAAGTAGAGAGCACCTGAGGCAAACAAAAAAACGCCGTTAACAACCTGTATATTTCTACCCCTTCTCTCCCCTTCCTCTTCCTTTTATCCCCCTCTTCATCTTCCCTTTATCTACTTATTTACTACCAAAGCACATTGCGTTTTCCGTCTATTTTGAGGTTCGAATTACGTCACATAGCTATACATACATCGTGAGTACATGCAATTATACCTAACCTTATCGGTTCTTCCCAATGCGCCGATGAACTCGCGGCACATGATCTTTCATATTATCAACACGGCTAAATACCCGCTCACATCCATAATACTCGCAAACGATGCTAGGATTGTGCATGCCCTCATGACGATTCCGGTCCTTTTTGCTCGAAAAACTGCCCTGTTTCGATTTTGAACAACCATTATGTAGACACGGTCAATGCTTGCGATGTCTGTTGAAATGTGTTTCCGTAGGTCACAGCCTCCCGGAAGCGAGCCTTCGAGGTGCACCCCGGGTGAGCGCAACGCCAGAGCCTATCACCGTCGAGAATACCATATTGCGCAAGGTGGGCTTGGTTAAACGCGGAGACGGGGGCGAGGAGACTTCGACGTTAGAGAGGGCTGTGGGTGATGAGATACTGCTCGTGGATGTGTCGAAAGAGGATGCTGCTGGGGTGGGTGGAGCTAGGGAGCTGTCGTATGCGGAGTGCATAGGAAGTTGAGATACGCATTGTTGCGTGTCGGCCGTTGTATTCCCGCTAAAAGCAAGCTATATTTCTTGGTCTATCATTGTCGGTACAAGGCCGAACATGGGCTCGGTGAGGTTGGAGGTGATGGTTTGGTAGAGGCTGTCGGCGGATTCACTCCCCAGAAACCAGTCGTTCATTTGTTGTGTATTGTTGTAACATGACATGTCTTGGAGATATTGGTCCATGACGGGCTCGCAAGGCTGGTAGGTCTGATATAGCTGCATAGAGGTCATGCCCTTTGAAGAATCATGATCATATTGAAACTAGCAATCCAGGGTTTATATACCCTGGTAAAACCATCTGAAAAAGGCCCAGTCTGTAGCAAACAGGCAAACATACTTGGGATGGTGCTCCAACAATAACTGAGTAATTGGATAGTTGAGAAAGCAACGTTGCGAAACTAGGAAATCTGACAGAAACACTTGCATAGCATCATTTTAACCCATTAAACAAGTGAGATTTCATGAAAAAGGACGACGATGGAATATGGGCCGAGCTTTGAAAACTAGCACTAGAGGAGGAGCAAGATACTATATATCGAGCGAACATATCCAGATTATTTGATGAGTCCATAGATATACGGATCATCTCGACTCGGGCCTCGTATTCTGATGTAGTAGGCAACGAGCAATATGGGCTTAGATGACGCCTAGTGAAGCAAAAGCCAGCTGAAACATAGCCATTTGGCTGAGTTCCACTCGTACGGTCAAATGTGAAAGGGCCAACTTTAGTTTGTGACGGCGGATTGGGTGATTTAAGAAGTTTCACAATATATGTGAATTCTCGAATAGTCAATGAGGCACAAGGACATATATCAACGATACCCCTATGCTTTACGCAAGACCTTTGTAATGCTGGATCCGCGAGTGAATACTTACGAAATTCCTTTCGTGGATGGAGTACCAGACACCTTCCGCAATATATCCAGGAGCGACTCTGAAGTCGAAGAAGTAGTTGGTTTCGCGCCACCTTATGACTAGTCACACATAGTAGAGGAACTCGATAGCGTAGAATTCGTGGGAATTTAAATGCCCTTTCTTTAAAAATCGTGCCGAAGAGGTCGAAAAATCGTTTGCAGCTAAGCGATAGACATGCTTTATCGACCAGAGGAAGGTTTTTGTAGATATTGTATAGCACACTCTCCTGTAGAGAAAGTATCCCAGGGCCCTTTCTTACAAACCAGAAAATACCAGATAAGAGGGAGGATATTTTTGACATTCGTTGCTTCTCATTTAGGTTGTTCTGAGAAGCGATAGCTAGTCCCCAACTGTGTCCCCGGTATGTAATCTTCTTTCCACCTCCTAGTAGACAACTGGATTCCTCATCGTCACCAGGATGGCTCTGGCTTAAGCGAGGTAGTATGCTAGGCAATTTTCGGCGTGGTTTCATCTTTGAATCTCAGTCTGGATAATGGTATTGAAAAGGCTTGGATTGTAGCTTGAGGGTAGTATATGTGGGAGGCTTGCGTAGGAAACCTCGAAATAAACGGGAATTAAGGGAGAAGTTCGACAACCAAGGTTTCATGACCATGACGTTACATTTACAAGGTCTTTTAAAGCCGATATCCAATTCGTCGATGAATGTCTAAGTAGTGGGTCGAGATTTCGGCCCAAAACCCATTCCGACCCATTTCGACCCATTCCCTACACTATTTTCGGAATTAGGCATTGCCAAGCTACATAATTTAGCTTATATAATATTGACAAAGCACAGTTTTTTATAGTCGCTTTAGTCTGTATACCATAACTTGACAGCGAGTCAGGAGAAGAGAGATCAGCAATGCAAAGTAGTATTCGAGCTAAGTGCTGATGATCACCGTTGATGATGATGATTGATAATGATGAGTGATGGGAAGGGGAAAAGAAGAAGAAGAAGAATCTAGTAATATAACGGACATATCTGTTTTATAGAGAGAAATTACTATAATAAGTGGTAGGCTTGCTTATAGTGACGCGATATTTGAATTATCTTCATTTATTTTACAAGTACGAGATAATAGTTATATATTTCGTTATAGAAGTATATACTACAAGTTCCTCAGACCGCCCTTCGGGCGGTCGCAAAAATAGTGCTAGTGCTAGGTAACCTATAGTTAAGTGTAAGGGAAATTGGGCTCTGGACCAATATTCTCCACAAGGAATACCCTTAATAGAAAATGCAAGCATTAACCAAAAAGACCACTTATGATAACCGAACAGGTTATCATACCAGAGTTTCCACTATACCTGCGCATGCCATGCGACCGAGATATTCTCCACTTTGTGGGTTGTATGGATTTATCCATTACATTAAGGGGTTGTTAGTTATAACTTTATTATTATATAAGAAAGATAACTATTAGCCAGTATGTTGATTATATGTAACTAGATAATTAGAAAGAAATATTTGAAATAGTTATTAGACTCTTAACTCGAATTAAGTATTTAATATCTATATTTAATAGAAGTACTTAATAGATAATTTCTTTTATATTATATTATATAATTAATATAACAAAAGTAATTTTAGATATAATAAAAATATATAATCTATTTTAGAAAGAAGATTTAGTAGACTTTATGGATTAGGAAAAATAGGAAAAATAGGAAAAATAGGAAAGTTAAGGGAATTAAGAAAAGGAATCAAACTATAGAGAATAGGGCTATAGGGGATAGGACTATAGAGAATAGGACTATAGAGAATAGGACTATAGAGAATAGGACTATAAAGAATACGACTATAGAGAATACGACTATAGAGAATAGGACTATAGAGAATAGGACTATAGAGAATAGGCTATAGAGAATATGTGAAGACCCACTATGAAGGGTCTTTATGAGGGAAAGATCAGAGTGCCAAGGGCATATACAATACGAATTACTACTGCGAAGTAATTGCAACTAGCACTGCGTATGTATTCCAACTGAACTATGAACCTTTGTCCATAGTTCCAAATCCACTAGTTATGCAATGTGCGCAGCCTAAGCGAGATCATGTGCATTGGACCCATATATCTCGCAGGCCATTGATATGTCTGCGCAGGTCCCCGAAGACCTCCGAAGGTCCACCTTGAAGGTCCACCTTGAAGGTGTCATCTCGGGTCCAGGCAGGTTCTGCACCTTACTTTGTATGGTGCAGGACGTGACAGAATAGGACTATAGAGAATAGGACTATAGAGAATAGGACTATAGAGAATAGGATTATAGAGAATAGGACTATAGAAAATAGAACTATAGAGAATAGGACTATAGAGAATAGGACTATAGAGAATAGATAAACTTATAGAGGATAGAACTATAGAGAATAGGACTATAGAGAATAGGACTATAGAGGATAGGACTATAGAGAATAGGACTATAGAGAATAGGACTATAGAAAATAGGACTATAGAAAATAGAACTATTAAAAATACAGAGCAAAAATGCACAAATAATGCAAGTCATGACCTTATTACCATGGTATGGATATAATTTAGTACTGATGAATGGGTCGCCCGGATATCCCATTTCTAAAATAAAGGTATATACGGAGGTCCATCCCAAAAGTTCTGTCTCAACTTTTTTTACGCTAGTATGCAATTAGGCCTAATATAGTAAGGTGGTTTTAAATAGTTGTCATTTAGTTACAGCATAACTAACTATGTAAACTACCTACCCCCCTCCCTTCTTTATATTCATTACCACCTTCGAGAGCAATAATCCTTTCAATATGATAGGGTATTCTCTCGATCCAAGCCTGTATCTGCTGCTAAGGCAATTCATCCCATGCTTTCTCCCAGGCCTTAATAGCTTCAGTTCTTGACTTCGGTGCACCCTTCTTCGTAGTATACCGCTTTAACCAAAACCACGCCGGCTCTATCATATTTAGATCGGGTGAATTGCCAGGCCAAAGTAGGCGTTTAACACCTGAAATATTAAAGATTTTTTGTTGGAAATGATGCTGGTAAGAAGGAGCTTTATCCTCTTGCACAATTGTATCTGGCCGTAGTTCTAAACATTCAGAGGCAAAAGGTAAAAGCCTCGGGAGGAGGATATTCATATGATATCGAAACTAATCGATTCCGCCTTTCGATTTAGATCGAGAGAGCTTCCTATTCTTCGTATTCCACTTCCACTTCGGTTTTATACCGGGAAGTTGCCTTAATCCTAGTCTTCGTATACTAGATTATAGCTCCTAATCAGCACGAAGAACCGGTTTAAGCTCAGCGTTCTAAGCGTCAATTAAGACATCAGATTCACGCTTCTCAGTAGCAGTTTCCGGCTTCCAATAATAACAAGGACCCTTCTTATTATAAGAAAAGCTACCCCAAAACATAAATTCAGAACAACCCTTCTACCGTTCTCGAATATAACTTCGAAGAAATCGTTCATCTTTAGAACGCTAGATTCGATATCCTCCACGCCGGTGAAGTAATATAACAGAGGTTTCATCAGTCCAAATAATATTCTTCCAATCTTCTAAAGTCCAATCCCGATGTTCAAGACACCAAGCTAGCCTAGCTTCACGTATAGCCTTAGTTAAACCAGGCTTCCGCGTAGGCTTCGTCTTTCGTAATCCAGCTTTCTTTAAGATCCGCCAGATTGTAGTAGAAGAGATCTCAATCCCTTCTAGGCTAATCTCTCCAGCTATATCAGCATAGGTCTTTTCTCGCCTATACCGATCAAGACGTACTTTCGTAAGCACCCGATCTTCCATTTCTAACGACTGCTTCTTCGGGCGCCTAGAGCGAGGGGCGTTAGTAAGCATATCATCAGAGATATTCCAGGGACGTAAGCTAGGATCAAAGCCCTTATTAAGAGCTTTTTCATAGGTACGGTCAACCGAACGTTTCGAAAAGCCCACAATCTCTGCAATTATAGCGGAGCTAATACCAGCGGCTTTGTAAGCCACTACAACTGAGCGCTTTGCAATATCGTGGCCCATGGCAGGCAGGCAGGCAGGCAGGCAGGCAGGCAGGCAGGCAGGCAGGCAGGCAGGCAGGCAGGCAGGCAGGCCGGCAGGCAGGTAGGTAGGCAGGTAGGTAGGCAGGCCGGCAGGCAGGTAGGCAGGCAGGTAGGCAGGCAGGTAGGCAGGCAGGTAGTATATAACTAGGCAGGTTAAAGAGAAGAGAAGAGAAGAGAAGAGAAGAGAATAGATTAGATTAGGGGGAGGGGTAATAGCAAAGGTACGATACAGGACCAAAACATACTAGCTGTTTCATCTAAAAAAGCAAATATAGAGATGGGACAGAACTTTTGCAATGGACCTCCGTAGAAGAACAATACTACCACCCAACGCCCAATAAACCTAAAAGAACAGATAACATACAACAGACACAAGAAAACATAAGAATACAGAAGAGAGAGAAAATGTCATGACACGCACTATATATAACGGAGCCTGGACTATCTGAGCGTAATGCTCAGATATAGTGGTCTTTTGGCCTAGTTTGTAACTCGCCAGTCCAGGGGCAGGTTGTAACAATATATCTGAGCATTACCGGTCGGGCGTTCGAATCTGCTCATAGAGTCTTTTTCGCTCGCCTGGCTGACAAGGCGTGCTCTGGCTTTAATTAGTCATCATTACCCTTGGGGGCCGACGATATAATAGATGCATATACATAGTTTATGATATGAACATGTTAAAAATACCTCTGAGTCATAATCTGACATGTATAGTTATTGACTTGACTATGTTAAAATGCCAAGACATACCTCTAAGTCACGTGATCTGAACATGTTAAATGCAAAGCCATACCTCTGAGTCATATAAACAAGTTGAAAAAAGCTTACCTCTGAGTTATACCATCCCTAGTTGGGTATGGGGTCATACCCTAAAGAAAAAAGGGAGATAATACGTGATCTGAACATGTTAAAAATGCAAAGCCATACCTCTGAGTCATATAAACAAGTTGAAAAAAGTTTACCTCTGAGTTATACCATCCCTAGTTGGGTATGGGGTCATACCCTGGAGAAAAAGGGAGATAATGTCATGACACGCACTATATATAACGGAGCCTGGACTATCTGAGCGTAATGCTCAGATATAGTGGTCTTTTGGCCTAGTTTGTAACTCGCCAGTCCAGGGGCAGGTTGTAACAGAAAAGCCAAACTAGGACAGACCAAAACCAAAACAAAGATCAAAATAAACCAAGAACTGGCCCAACCAAAACACCACCGCAGTCCAATATGAAAAAAAGAGAAAAGTACAGGGAGGACGGTCTGCACAGGGATGTGGATAAGGGAATCCACTATTCCAGTGGGTGGTTGGAAGAAGGGATAAGAAAGCAGGAACGAATTCCGTACGGGGACAGTGGGAGACGACTTAGGATGTCGATCCTGGAGCAGCGTTAAGGAAGTTGGTAGGCAGTTTGGCCTTCGGTGGGGCAGGGATATGTAAGCCGGCTGGTGGCGCGATGTATCTTAATGGGATCCCAGCTTCATCAGCGTCCCAATGTGAGGCCTTGTTGCGGTGTTCTGAGGGGGCGGCCGTAGAATCTGGCCACTCGGCGTAGACTGGACGGCGAGGGCGGGATATCTGACGTGACAGAATTTCAGAGCTGGAGCCCACTTGATTGCCATTGGCATCGAGAGTGTTGGTGATTGTTATTGTTTCTACGTATATACGGACACTGTTGGTTAGTATATCACCCTTCCTGAAAAGTACTTTTGGCACTACTCACCGGACTCAGGGCATTGATGGAACAGTGGCCAGGTCCACCACTTCTTGTTTGTGGACTTCTCAAGCTTCTTCTGCGCCTTAACGGTGGCCTTGGTATCCCTCTCTCATTGGTGAGTTAGGTACGCTTGGTGGTTGGCCCTACGGGCCTCACGTACGTCCAGCCTACATATATCATTTATTAGCACAACACACAATGTAAGAGAAAAAAGCAAGGTTGACGTACCAGCGCCAAAGAAAGGCGGCGCCGATGATCAAAAGCACGGCTACAAAGCCAATCAAGGAACCTATCAGTGTGTTCTCCCAATCGGAAGGGGAGTCTTTGGTCTCTTTGCACGACATAATTGCTGGCATTGTGTTTGCGTGTATGAAGCTTGCGGACCGGAACTACGCGTGGGCCCGTGGGCAGTATTCTATTTATGTACCTACGGGGCAGAAGGGGTGCTCTCTAGATCACACGTAACTTCGCTTAATCTTATAGGCGTGTATAGCTTGGTATGATCTCACTTTTCCGTAAAATGCACAGATCCTTGCATCTTTTGTCATTTTCTGTAAATGTCGTTTTTATACCTAGCCAAGAGTTGGTGAAGATTTTTGATTTCAATTTTAATCAGCATAATACCTCTCTGCGGTTGAAAGATCAATGAGCGTAGATAGAAGTTGTTTCGATCAAACAGTGAGCTGTATTGACTTAACCATGGATGAGGGTGTTGGTATTGGCCAATAATCATGAACTGATGTCTGGACCTCGGGAGTTGATTGATCTTCGCTGTTTCACCACTATTTCACTATGATTGGCCCGTTTCTTTTTGACAGATGAGCTTATTTGAACTTCTTTTTTATTGTTGGTTTTTTTTTTTTTTTTTTTTTTTTAATCTTGAAGATGTGTCAAGGATCAGAGAAAACATAGATTGCTTTCATTTATAGTTCAATGGATTTGATTTTGTCTTTCTCGGTTCGCGTTCCTTCTACTCCTAGAGGCATACCCTGGTTTTGGAGGCGGAAAAGTTGACACCGCCCCGAAAGAGGACTCCCCCAAAGTGAGTCCTTCGTGCAATTCATTATTTTCTGGGCTACATTAGTGTTTTGAAAAGTTGGGTTTTCCCATTTTTCTTTATGGGCTTCATCTAAACCTTTTCTTTTGTTGGGTCATACTAAATAAAGAAATAGATGGAATGAATTTTGAGACAAGAGGGGTTGGAAATTACACCCCACCCTAGAATCCAAAGATATAGATATATTTCCACAAACAGCCGTTAGAACGGTCTATTTCTGAATCCCAGAGGGACTTGGCATTCTAATCCTTCAGACCTTGAAAGTTGTACCGTAGCCTTTCGAACGCTTACTAAACACCAGCCATCCATGGATGGGATGGCAGCCCTACAAAGGCAGAACTGCCCAAAAAGGGTCTGGTGCATCACTTTCTTCGATGCTTTCTCGAAGCCTTTGGGTGAGGGGCTCGATGCACTAAAGAGAAACAAGACTTTGGAGATATGGATACGGTCTGCAGTGACAGTCAGTCAGCCTCATCTGACGCAAAGCTTATGGTCATTGGCACGCCTTTCTAGCGGGAGGATTCCACATGCCCGGGCCCGCATCACGAGGTGGCTGCACTAGGCTAATCGGCAACGGGACCATAGTAATCGATGACTGCGGACTCGAATAAAGTCATGTTCGGTCTGAGCGAAAGGAAGTTACTGCGGTATATCATCCTGATAATTTACCTACAGGAACTGATGCAAACACGTGGGCGTGGGGGAAAAGCTTGTTTCCAAGGTTGTCCACGCCAGGCCTGACAAAGCATGCATGACCCGTACGTACCTAGGGGACTCACTACATATGTACATATGTAGTTATACGAACCATTTTTCCTCTGTCAGGTGGAGCTTTCTGATTGGCAGCTATGAGATTGCAGGGGCCAGAAAGAGATGAGGGAGAGAGTTGATTACTATGGAGAGAACCATCTGCCAGATATCTAGCTACGCGGGATTTATGCCTGAGGCACAATTATGGGGCCTAAGGCCACCACCATAACACTTAGCTGCTGCCGCTTCTATGAGGGCGCTCAGAGTCAGGTAAATATCGCGAGGGAACATTTATTGCATAGATCAATATAACTACCATTTACTACATAACCACGTAGTAAACCAATTAATTTAAACCCAGATTTAGACGAATTGATCAATTTACTACTAATATATAAAAGCAATCTATTTAACACTGCGCTTCTTGGCCCTTCCATGCTTCCTGATTTCGATCAACACCTTCTTCCACTTCCGCTTCGTTTTCTCCTGATCGGCTTCCTCGCTCAGTTTATACTCTTTGTACTTCTTTTTTTCGACTTGGGTGGAATCGATGATGCCGGTGAGCTGTGTAAAAAGGCGAGAACTGTCATATCCGGCGTGGCGTGCCCCCCTAATAGTTTGTATATTGTCAAACTCCCGCTGTAGCTGAAGAGCTAAAGTAGCCTGGGCCTCAGCCCCCTTTGCAAACTTTGCCAGCCCTTCTTTCAACCGCTGAGTACTAGCATCATATTGATCAACAGGATGGCTAATTTTTCGGACCTTCTCAGCGGCTTTTGGGGTGCTAAATTGATATTCAGGGTTCCGTTTAAGAAAACGTTGTAGCCAGTGGTCACCGATTTGTGGCGGATCGGTAGTTGGATCGGCATGGTCATTTCGAAGAATTGAATTGGCAGCAATAGCAATTTGACGGCGGGTTATCGACTCCCCGACCGCGTCAGAGTGATCAATATATTCACATAAAGCGCTCTCTTGTGCCGGATTGAGCTTCCGGCCATTGGATTGTCGTTGAAAAAGTGATTTTCCACCTAGCCATCGCCGGCGTAAGCGGCTTCCGGGAACCGCGAATTCTCGCGCAGTTTTCGAGATATTAGGTTTAGATTGCTCAGAGAGATGGTCCATCGCTAGCTGAATCTGTTGCTCAATTTCTTTATTGGTTTTAGGCATGATTGGTGGTGTGGTTGATGATCAAAGTGAAAAATTGAATTTATGAAAAAGGTTGCATATGGGGGTGGCATGTTCCATATAGGTGTTGCGAGGGTTCGTATTTTTTTTGTAAAAAAAGGCGGGGCGGGTTACTTAAAGAAGCGCTTCGGCCTATGTACCTAGTTAGGTATGTATAATACTGGTAATACTGTTTATATTGCGACTAACTTTTTGATGGACCTTACATGTATTTTTCACTGTGCCCCTGTTTTTGTTTTTAAGACTTCGGAGTACGGAGTATAATAAATCAAGATTCCCAAATGTACCACCTACTTTACCGAATTTGGCAGTATGAATAGTATCCCATTCTGACATAGAATATAGATGAAATTTCGTTTTCAAGGAGTCACCATTTTGTCAGCACCCATTTTCACGCCGATTAATGTTCTTCTACTTACCCAACAGCCCCGTCACCGATTCTTTATGTCCTTCTACTACACTCTTATACAACCTAACGTTTATCATCAACATGGGCACCGGTTCATATGACCTGAATCTTTTTTTCAACTTGGACACCTATCAGGGACATCCTAAGCTAGACACCGGTCCGGGGCGTCCTGCGCTTGCCGGAAATGAGATTTGGGTTATTCTCCGAGCCCTACGTCCTGTTCCGGAATCGTTATTTTTCTACTCACCTGACTACAATCCAGTCATCTCTAATGAGAAACTATCAGACCTTCGGATCCAGTTTCATCATCTAGATATTGAGACGGGAGACGTTTCACCCTCGTCTATTCCTTGCTTCCTTCCAAAGACAGATTTTCCCGAGTTTTTAGAGGCAAATGATTTCTACCCTAATGTTTTGAAGGTGCAGAGGAGATGTTATCCGAATTGAGGAGAAATAACCGTAGTGCCGGTAGCCTTGCTATTTTCCCGCACTGCCTGTCGCGATGCCTTTTCGTTCGAAGGAAGCGACAACCCCAAAGATAAATTTACAAGTGCCTGGGACAGGCCACTTAATAACTACGGCTGGATACGCTGGATACGCGATAAGTAAGTTTCTACCTTATACGTAAATAGGTGATACTCTCCTAACTTTACTCTTCTTTAGCAAGACATCTATAAGGGTACATACGTACTCCTCGCGACGACACGTGTATAGGTGAAAAGTTCGAAGCTTTGAAAATAATACCCTTTGAGCTACGGACTTATTCGCAAAAGAAACTCGGTACACCAGACAAACAGACTTATATATGGGCCATAGCTGATGTCGGTGCATGTGGCGATAATTTGCGCCCCTCGAGAGATGAAGTCGCAGCTCTAGCATGTTCTATGTTGGATCTTAAGTGGCAAGAGAACCTGTCAATACACGAGGAACGACCACGTCGAGAAGATATGTTTCCGGTAAGCTAGCTATTTAGTCAGTCATGAAACTTTTTGTGCCTCATAGCGCTCATATCTGATGCAGATACTGCTTATCATTTTCGACGAGTACGGGCACTCTCGGGTCCTAGCTGGATATTTTGATGGGCAACTCCATGTTCAGTTCACCCGCATTTTGGATTTCAAGGAATACGACATAATACCGCCTAAGGACAGGCCATACATTGATACTATCGACAAGGGCAAGTTTTATGACATTCTAAATATGCTTGCGAAATGGTCATGGCCCATCCCAGTGGCAACCACGAAGGAATACGCGGCGGTAATCTTGGATCTTCCAACAGATGATCACCCAGACACGGATCTCGCTGATGATGATTGGCTATTTGCCCAAGATGTGACTTATTAAGGGGAAGGTGATGTCCCCTCGGCGAACGGTAATGGATCAGAAGCAGAAGAAGATGAAAAGGAGCGGGATAAGGAGAACCTACATATAGTAAACAAGAGACGAGAAGTATACCCATTGCGACCCAGTATAGTAGCTATCAAGAATATCTCCTACGAGGGTAGAAGATGGGGTTGGGGGTCGATACCCGTAGATTTTTGTTGCATTGAGATCAACAGCCAAATCGTTATCTAACTACTCCTATAGAGGACTGAGGCCTCCAACTAGATTGTGGTCTATAGCAGAGGGGTTGGTGGGGTTGACCTTGCCGGTAACCCCAGAGGTGATGTGATGTAGACGAGAAGATCACAATAAAGGCTTGCCTAAATGGGATATTTGTTGGGGTCGTTCTCCAAAGATCTCATTATGGTCATTTGACCACTCTGGTCACTGTACAGACTAGCAAACTAGCAACCTATGTAATATGGGTCATTGTAAACACATTTTTATTAGCCTCCCAAGCAGCAAGAGGCTAACAACCCACTGGATATGAGATATGATGAAAAACATTGATTGCTTTTAAAACACCAAAGCATGCCCAACTCCGAAAATCTGCGTGTTGCAGGAACCGTGTCGTATCTGAGAAAGCATAAAACAAAAGAAAATATAGATGCCCAGGGATAAAATTTAGTCGATATCCATTTGCTCCTCCACTCCACCATCCACCAAAAGTTTGGCCTTCTGCTTCTGGCGGACTCTCTCCTCGCCGTGGACTCTGTTGGAAACCTTGCTCTGTTCGGCAACCATGGGGACACCCTCCTCGCGCGTGCGGAGTTCCTTCCGAATGAGGTGCTCGCCCTCGTTGACGACCTTGCGGTCCGCCTCGCGCTGGCGCTCGCGGGCGAGTTTGCCGGCCAGGCGGCGTTTCGTGAACACACGCTCGCGGCGGGTTCTGATCTCCTCCACTCTCTCCATGGCAGTGAGGGTAGCAGACATAAGGTTGCGGTCGTACTTGACGGGGACGTTTCTCTTTTTGGCGAACTGGGACAGGACAAGCGATGAATCCACGATCATCTCCTTTCCGCGGGCGGCACGGTGAGTCTTGGTCCACTTGAGCTTGCGGGGCTGACGCTTCATCTTGAAGTTCTTGTGGCACTTGGACCGACAGAAGCGGAATTGTCGGGCATCGTTGCGGACGAATGTGATGCCCTTACTCGGGAAGGCCGGGCGGGAACAGAAGTGACAAGTTTCAACACTGCAGAGAAAATGAATATTAGCATTCCATAGAATGAGTACAGACAAAAATTAACGGCAAAACTTACCGCATGGTTGTGGTGTGGTGTTGGTTATGTCTTCGTTGAGTCGCAAGAAACTTTTTCTGTAGCTTGGGCCTGAATGGTGGAGCAGACCACGCTAAACCCTTTTGGAGACACCCGCGCTGACTTTTCTATCCCGGCGCCTCTTCGCCCATTCCCCGGTCCAACTGACTTGATCTCGTTTCGTGATTCCATCCTTCTCAATCTACAAAATGGCCTCTGCTCTCGCTATTGGATTTGGCATTGCCACAACTGCCTTTTTGGTAAGTGAAAACCCTCTTTGTTCAGAATCACGGCACTGACTCGTTGTCTACAGGGCCGCGCCGGTCTGGTCGCCTACCGCCGCTCCAGGGGAGGCTTAAACGCTGCCGGAAAGGCATTCTATAAGGGGTTCGTGGACATTTTATCACCTTATATGGTTCTATGGGATATTGACTAACGTCGCATCACAGAGGATTCGAACAGCGCATGAACCGTCGGGAAGCCTCCCTGATTCTACAACTTGCGTATGTGCTAGCTGCAAACCTTTGATATTGACAGAACTGACATGATTACTTAGTGAACGAACTTTGACCAAGGACAAGATCCGCAAGAACCACCGCCAGCTCATGTTGCTCAACCACCCCGATCGCGGCGGCAGCCCATACTTGGCGACTAAAATTAACGAGGCGAAGGAATTCCTCGACAAACATGCTTAAGACTTTGCCGATGCTGCTTTGATTTATCTCTTCTCCGACAATGACCTGTGGGCAACGATGGAAAAGCGAATTTAGGTCTCGACATTGACCAACCGGTCATCATATTTTGGGCACATAGCGTGGCGTTGGTTTGGCATTTACAAGATCGGAGGAACAGGACTGCTCTTTACGAACCTTGTTGTATTATATGCACTGTTTTCACATATCCCTACGAGATCGCCGCTCTTCGTTGAATGTACTTTTATATTACTATACGTCCCGACTTTTGTAGAGCCGGCAATCCCCGGCATCAGATCAGATCATGAGATCACGCTGCCAAATTGTCGATCTTGGCCACTTTTAGTCACCAAACAGCTCTCAACCCCTGGACAGTAGGCAACACGTAGGCCCAAGACTCGCAAGGTGATAAGGTCTCGGCACACTGGGATCCATCGTACACCAAATATAATGTCACACAACTTTTTCGCAATGATTATGCTATACGAAAAGTAAAAATGGTGTTTGATCGGCGTTAAGGGTGGAGTGGATTGGAAGGATTGGAAGAGATTGAACGGATGCCAATGCCCCTGTTCTCCGGATCGGACGAAATCGACCGTCTACTCGGTGGTCGGGTTTCGCGGGTTCCGTCATGCCCAAATAATCTTCAAGGCAGCAACCCGTATAGCGTAACTCCGTATAGTGTTTTTTTAATCCTCTTACGTCTAAAAGGTTAGAATCATATCAATCAGCATATGTGTTCACGTGTGGTTGAGTCATTTCTTACCTAAACTACCAAACTTTAGAGGTGTGCTTGAGTTCAGTGTGGTTTCATTATCAACTCCCTTGAAAAAAGAAAAAAAAAAAAGAGGCTTCTATCCTTCCATGCGTCATTCATTTCTACAATCCATAGCACATTCTCTCTCTCTTCTCAGGGGTTAAAAAAAAGGAACAAGCTCTGTGTCGAGAACACCCCGCAATATCGATTACTTATCACCGCCATTACCTCTCTACTCCGCGGAGTTTCCATTGCCCCTCAAAACGCAAAATGGATGGCTTGGGGGACGGCGACGGCATGGGCTTCGATCCGCCTATGATGAACCACACCCCACAACTCTTCAACTACGATCATTCTCAGATGCAGGCGGGGTCTATGTACGATGATTCGTCATTAGGCGCGGGGGACGAGACCAACGATGCGAAGAGACGGAGGATCGCGAGGGTGAGGATCATTACCCGTTACAGAGATTGAGAATACATCTAATGAGCCAACAGGCGTGCGATATGTGTCGGAAGAAGAAGATTAAATGCGATGGAAAGATGCCAAAATGCTCACACTGCATCAACTACAAGACGGAATGCATTTTCACACAGGTGGAGAAGAAGCGGAACCCCCTAAAGGGTATGTATACTTGTGTATTTCATGGCATAGAAAGCTCTGTATCTGACCTCGGGTTATCTCTTCTATAGAGCGAAATACATCGAAGGTCTGGAAAACCGACTAGGCCGGATGGAGTCGTTGTTGCGTTTGTCGGGTCTGTTATCAGAAGACGATGGCGGCAAGACGGATCTCGGAACATTGGAGAAGCGGCTCGCGGATCGGACGAATGCGATGAACGCAGCGAAAAGCTCCAGCATGTTCCTGGCTCAAGCAGCTGCGGCGCAACAGGCCCCGAGCTCCCACCACACCACACCTCGTATGGACTCCAACTCCAGTCCTCAGACCGCCGCTACATCACCAGAGTCGCAGAAATCGGAGACCGAAGTCGAAGCGCTGTCGGATATGATGTGTTCTTTGGTGACAAACAACTGCGGGGAGACTCGGTATATCGGTAGGCTTTGTTTGTGCAACCGGTTTGACCTAGTTTGTTAACATTCTCACAGGATCTTCATCTGGGTTTTCTATATTCTCTCCAAAGGGTATTCAATGGGTCAATGAGAAAACTGGCGATACATCCTTCCAGGACATGATCTCGTCGGCATATGTCGATGACAATAAATGGATGTACTGGAAACCCGAGATCTTCAGCGATATTTTCGCGAGACGTGTGTTCAAGCCTCTGCCGCCAAAGGAGGAAGCTCTTTCTCTATTCAAGGACTTCTTTGAAAACTTCAATTGCCTGTTCCCATTGTTCCATGAAGCGACATTCATGCACCTGGTGGAGCGGCAATACTCGCGCGATCCCTACGAGGGTTCGGGTTGGTGGGCAAGTATAAATGTTGTCCTGGCGATTTCTCACAGGCTTCGGGTGGTGAGTAACTTAGTGCCACACGAGGAAGACAAAAGAGCTTGGCTTTATTTGAAGAACGCCATGGGAGTTCTGACCGAGCTCACCATGCGTAACACCGATCTATTGAGCGTACAAGCCCTATTGGGAATGGTAATTTTGTCCTACTCTGGTTTCCGTGGCTTTATCTAACGTACACTTCTAGTCACTCTTCCTCCAGGGAACCCCTAACCCTCAACCTGCTTTCTTCCTAGTCGCTGCGGCGATTCGACTTTCCCACAGCATTGGTCTGCACAAACGCGGTTCTAGCTTTGGCCTCAACGTAGTCGAAGTTGAGCAGCGGAAGAGAGTGTTCTGGATCGCCTATCTTCTTGACAAAGAGTAAGACCTGCTCCCAGGCACCCGCATACCTTTATGTTGAATACTGACCGATTCCTTAGCATATGTCTACGCTCTGGTCGACCACCGGTACAAGATGATGATGATATGAATGTTGAGCTGCCAAGCGAAGATCCTCCAGACAATGTTGGAAATGTGCCATTATCTGATGGTCGAAGCAAGTTCAACTTATTTCGGGCATTTTGTGAATTTGCCTCTATTCAAAGCAGAGTATACAAGCGACTTTATTCTGCCAAAGCATCGAAACAATCAGACGGTGAATTGCTCAACACAATCGGTGAACTTGACAAGGAGTTGGAGGACTGGAAAGACAACATTCCTATCGACTTCCGCCCCGAATACGACATCCAAGCTACCCACACCCCCCTCATCATCCACATGGTTGTTCTACATTTTGCCTACTACAA